GGAGCGGGAACCTGTCTCTTATACACATCTAGATGTGTATAAGAGACAGGATTACACTGTAAGTGATAATCCACCTTAACCAAAATCAAAGTAGATATATATATTAAAACCAGGGTCATTCTGCGCTCGGCGAGAGGACTCCGAATCTGCAATAAAATTTTGGTTTTTTTTTTGGGGGGGGGTGAGGGGGTTGGTCTCGGTGGGGGGTGCTGGGGTTGGGGGGGTGTCTGTGATGTGGCGCAGATGCGCTTTTGTGCCAGGGCGACTAGCTTTAGGTGTCGGTCATGGTACTCAGCCGTGAGCAAGACATTTTGTGCAAGCTCCTTCCAAAATGGAGAGGACCTCAGCGTATAATTTTCACTGCTGGTAAGGAGCCGCAAGGGCCCTCTTTCGTCACCGAGGTGACTGCCCACCTGCCTGTTCACCCGGTCTTTCAAGCCTCCAATCGGGCTCCTTTCCTTTCAGTGGAGCACAATGACTTCCCCAGACGATGCTCGCACGGCCCTCCGTCTATGGATGCGTTTCAGGATAGTGACCACATTATCATGCACCTGCAATACGGGAACAAGCAGATGCAGTAGTTGGTTGACTTTTCCTACTGCAACCATAAGGCACATCTAAGCCGTGCGGAACTTCAGACTACAGCGCAGTATGCCCTTGTCAAGTATGAAAAGAACAAGCAAAAGCAAGGGGCATCCTTGCCTCAGCCCACCTGCCGCAACCGGACTTAAGTTCCTCCTTCGGATAGACAGCTTCGTCCTCACCATAGCCCAGCTCCTTAAACCACCAGAAAGTTGAGAATCGCAACTGAGCCTCTCCGAAAAAAATGAACGTGCGGGGCAACCGGACCAAAATCGCTGGTGCCGCCAGCCAAAATAGAAACAAAAATGCTGCACTAGCATTTCGGCAAAGTTTGGCACGCAGTGGGCATCAGCCTCATACAAAAGCGGCCTGGATGTACTTGTGGTCCAAGGAGAGTGAGGGCCGTAGCATGCTTGGGCCTACTACACAGGCCCCTAGGAGGCCCGACTTTCACACTTCGGCCCCCAGGCCGCGTGCCCCCTGTATTTGGCCAACCTCGAGGGCCACGGCCATTTCCTTCCAGGCCTGGGTTATTTTTGTCCTATTTGTTTTCGTTCTTTCAGCATTTATCTTAGATGCTAAGCTTGTTTGGGACTGACTTTGTCTGATCCAGATGGTGTCATTTTGGACTTTTCCTTTTGTCAGAAAAAGCGCCGGTGCCTGTTTGGACCAGCGGATTCCAGTTTGGCTGTTGTAGGCCCAGTTCAGTTTCGTCAACATCTGGGCTGGATCATGAATTTGTCTGTAGCACCTGGCCCAGTCCTCGTCCATTCTGGACCAGCCCTGTTGCATCAGCAAGCCCTCCTGGATGTACGGTAGGGACAAAGGCAGGCCCAGTTAGGCCAGAGATGCAGGACCAGGACTCGGGCCTGCAATCAGGACCATCGATCGGACTCTAGATCGAATGGTCCGAATTGCAGACCAAGGGCAGCCCAGTCGGGCCCAGTTGTATATAGCTGGGCCAGTCCTCCAGTTTAAGGACCGGAGCACTAGTTGGGCGTCATGCCGCTGGATTACAGCGCCAGTTTGGAAGAGCCGCCTAGCAGCATTGAAGGAGGAGAGCAGTCTGGAGACGAGCAGCTAGAGGTGGCCATAGCCACGAGGGAGAGGGAGACTTGCCTGGGCACCGTAGCTGGAACTTCATTCGGGTCTGGGACAGGTCTACTTCAGCGACCCGCATCAATCAGAGTCATCATCCTTCGCTGGGCAGTATTTGTGGGCCTCATCATAAGCATCAAGAGAGAGAGAGAGAGCGGAGACTTCTTCATCTTGTTCTTCCTGATTCTTCTTCTGACTCTCCATAGCCACTACTTCCTCCTCCTTATTCTAGAAAGAGAGAGAGAGAGAGAGAGAGAGAGAGAAAGAGAGAGAGAGAGAGAGAGAGAGAGAGAGAGAGAGAGAGAGAGAGATGGACAGACGGACGGACGGACGGACAGACGGACAGACCGACAGACCGACAGACCGACAGACAGACAGACAGACTCAACACTTCGGAGGGACGATGTTGGACTTTGCTGGGAGGGACTATTGTCAGTTATCTCGAGCTATTCTTCTTGCCTTCTCCCTTCTTTCTCTTTCATCTCCTCTCACCTACATCATCGGGTTTCTTCTTCCCATGTGTGCTTGAGAAAGGAGGGACCTTTCGTTCACGTATGTATTCCCTCCTTGCCCTTTTACATGTGTAATGATGTTTGTGTGTCGAGTTCTGAGTCTACTGAGTAAGATCATGATCTGAGTCTTTCGCTGTGCTACATTGCCTTTAACTGTCTTGATATAGATTCACATTGCTTCTTCGTTGACCGCATTGCTCGTCCTCGAGTCTTTCACTGATATTGCCGATCTTTGGAGTCTGCGCACTGCCTATCATCATCACCAACCCTGCAATCCTCACAGGCTGTAGGAAGGTGTGTTTGTGTGATGTCAGTTTATCATTGTTTTTCTGGCAGAAGTAATCCTTGTAAACTGTTAGAAGTTGTCAAGCGTACAAGTGTGTGCTTGTGTGGGTAGATGTGTGGATTCGATAATATTTGACTAAGGTTCGAGTGCTAGAATATGGTTTGACTGTCTGTCGGCATGCGCTCGTTGTGCCTTAGCAACAGTACATCGTGTACCTCTAAAGCACCAGCCAGATCACCGTTTGCAAGCTGCATCATCAGCATTTTTTGCCTCGCTTCTTTTTCCTTTACGTTTTTTCAACTTTTGGCTTTGTCCACGCATCATGCATTGCACACAATCCAAACATCACGACTTTCTGATCAAAACACTGAAACTCCCCCTTTTCTCAGTTTTGTTTCCTCTTCTGGGCTTCCCTCTGTATATTTGTAATTTTCTATCCCATCTCAGCAAATGTCCTGCTACATTCTACAACTGAAACAAGGCCAAGAGACCATCCATCAGGTACAACTTCATCACACACACCAAAGAAGACCGATTGCTCAAGACTCGCCAATGGGCACCAGAGAGAAGGCATCCCTAAAACCCCAGATTGAAAGCCCCACCACATGAACAAAAGATCCAGCAGCATACACAATGCCACACAGGTGAATTGGTGAGCAATGCATTGCAACAACTGACTGAATATATAGGTCAATGAATGTACCCTGCCTTTTGGTACCTTGTCTTCCCATCCACGTATTCCTGATGGCTTCTCTTCGGTTCCTGTTAGCGAACGCCGTATTTATCCCGATCACCACCTTCAACCTCCCATTCTTATAGTGCCCCCTGGCAGCATTCTGTATCTCTGGCTTGTAACCCTTCGCCTTTGCAGCAGCAATCTCCATTTCTAACTGCGCTATTCTCTTTTTCTGAGCTCTGAACAGAAAAACGATCCACCCACACAAACGCAGTGTGTCACGAAGACATGTTTTGGCTTCCCGGTCATTCCCGGTCATGCTACATGCCACAGAAACGAAAATTGCTAGTGAATCTCTGCTATACAGCTACCTAACTCAACACAGCTTCCGCAACCTTGGAGTTATCTGATTGCAATGCAATACTGTCAGTGCTGTGGACTGCACAGGCATGTGAGGTCGTATTGCCACATAAAATACACCCACGTGTTGCAAAACATAATATGTTGGGCTCCGGATACTCCCACTCTTGATCAACTACCATATGAAGGGTGGAGATTCAGCTCTGAGGAAATGAGCACTGGTCAAAGTTCAGAAGGAACCCTTATGCAACAAATCAACATCTCGCACGACGAAACAAACACAGACAGTAAGTCCAGTGCGTGAGCACTGCAGCTAGTGGTACGTCGTCAGGCCAGTTAATGTGTTTAGAATTGAGGCTTTGGCGCATAAGGTTATGTAGAGAGCATTTTCCATACTCTTCCACTGTATGGAATAACCCAGTTGTCAATCCTCTGTACTACTTGTTATCTTCATACAGTGATTGCTACACGTCAAATTCTAATGGAGGCATCTCCACATCTCCACATCTCCACATGGTTGCACAGCACTTCTGACATTCTGCTTGACTACTACTTTTCATTCCTTTCGTCCTCATCTCTTTTCTTACTCCCTTCATTATTTGAACCCTTCTATTCTGTTTTACTACTGGTTTTGCATCCAGAAGTCAAATTCAAGGCATCCCTGCTGGTTTTACTACTGTTTTTTCCCACACACCCGTCTGCCAACAAAGCGGTACACTTGCACAAATATATATGTATACATGAAGTCAAACAGAACTGCCTCGTAAACCGTCCGCATAGAGGGAGAAGAGGACAACAAACGAGGGGCTGTGACGAACTGTTTCATCCGAGTTTCACCGACTCGTCAGTTTACAAAACAGTTTATCACAGCCCCTCATTTGTTGTCCACTTCTCCCTCAACAGTTTACCCAGCAGTTCTGTTTGACAATATATATATAATACATTAATTATATAATATAATATAATATAATATTTGTATAATATATGTAATCAGTTGGGGATTCTGCAGACTATCGAGTGTTCAGCCTCCTGATTAGTCAGTGAAACTCCGACGAAACAGTTTGTCGCAGCCCCTCGTTTGTTGTCCTCTTCTCCCTCTCTGCCTACGGCTTACCGGGCAGCTGACGATATATATATATATCCAGCCTCCTGATGAGTCGGTGAAACTCCGACGAAACAGTTTGTCACAGCCCCTCGTCCGTTGTCCTTTTCTAGAGAGAGAGAAATTCTGGGGCGACACAATAAATTACGGATGTTGATTCACCCCAGAATTTATTGTGTTACTGGCACAACACAATAAATTATCGGGTGAATCAACATTGTATTTGTAACAGAGGCCTTATAAACTGATTTCAATGATGTTTTTGAGAGAGAGAAAAACTGCATCCACATAGACGTGAATGACACGAAGGAGAATTTGGAGAAACCACAACAATTCACTTACATAGAATCAATCATTTTGATGGTGTCGTCTACTTCAACAACATGTGGCTGCTGCAAATAACATGCAAGAACATGAAAGACAAGCACACAAATGCTTCAGTTAAATGCTCCAGCAACCAAAACAATTGACAGAAGTGGCAAATGAACTGCACTCACAGTCGTAGCAGCAGTGTGACAACATACCAACGCGGATAACTAGGTTTACAAGAAGCCCTCCATGGGCAGGATAAGCCCAAGGATTATCTTACTGGAGGCAAACAGCATACCAAAGCAATGCAAGCAGAGTTTGTATACAATATATAGTGCAAGCCCTACGTTGGTCGTCGATGTGCTGTGCTGCAATTATGAGAACTTTGTTACCTTTGATTTGCCACTTTGGACAAAGGAGGATAAACATTGCCCTATCTTCACATCAGCAAAACTCATATGTACCCTGCAAAGAACCATGCTCAAAATCCACACAGAAACAGTGTAGGTTCAGAGCTTTTGGTCCAGTCCGTGCTCAGGGGTCGAGTGGAGGGCTGGCGAGCCCGGTAAGGGTGGCCTGAGGAAAACGAGCCCAACCCTCAGTGACGGCCATGGCTGGAAAAAAATTGCCAGCTCTAACTGAAGGGCACCGCCAGACAGCTGGGTGCAGGCTGGGGTCCGCCCCTGTGACTAACCAGGAGGCCCAGCCTCTGAGTTAGCTACAGAGGCCAGGGCCCGGGCCTAGGCCAGTAGGCAGTAGGGCCTGCCTACTGTGGCCCAGACTCGGCCTCCAGACAGGTCGAGGCCGAGGCATTAAGGACATTCGGAGGCGCTAGCTCTGTTTGAGTGAGTAGCCGACAGACAGCCCTCTGAGGAGGAGCAGCGGCCGACAACTGCTCAGCCAGCAGCAGCCATAACTGCACCACGGGAAGGCTTGCACAGGGTCATCGGGGAGAAGGGGCAGCAGTGGGAATGGTGGTACAGCGGCAACCATAACTGCACGGCGGGAAGGGTCGCACCGGATCATCGGGGAGAAGGGGCAGTAATGAGAATGGCGGTACTTACCTAGTGGTGGATCGGGAGCATTCCAGTGGGTCAGACTCTTCAGCATCATCTGGCAAAAGGACTGTGGACAGAGAAAGCGTGAGGGAGAGTAGTAGGATGTATGTAGAGAGAATGGGAAAGTAGTATAGGTGGGCACATCATAATGGAGTAACTACATTGTTGTTGCATTGATTGTCGGAGGAGAGAAGCAGGGCTGGTCAAGAGACTTCAGTGTTCAATGTGTTCTTTTTTTTTTTCTTTTTTTTTTTGATATAAACAGGTCCTTATGGTCCTGGCTCCATTTCCATTCTGGGGAGCGTCAGTCCGGTTCCTTTCCACAGGCAAGTCAAAATTGGAATACATGGTGAACACCCTCACGCTTCCTTCCGTCTGGCCGAAGGAACCCTGACCAGCATTGATTACTCCTTATCAGGATGATTGACTGTCAGCTTGCCCTCCACTTTTCCTCTCAGAGTCTACTGTGTCTCTGTCAGATAACACTTGCATAGCGAGAAAAGAGGTGAGTTGTCTTAGCTGTTGAGATTATGATCTCAGTTTGTTTTTCTCTAAGTCCCTGTCCTCGTGGTGTGCCACTTCCTCCAAATCAGTCTGTTGTCCTCCACAGTGGCAATCTTTCCTTGTAGAAGCCAGTCTCTTATGAACACCCGTTTCTTTGTGGCTCTCCTTTCTGGTCTTCCTTTCGTCGTTGATGTCACTTCCCTCCATCTGGCTCGAATCTCTGTTTCAGCCATTCTCAGCAAGAGTGCCCACATTTCTTCTCTTGGCACCTCAGTTCCTTCAATCATCTTGGTGCATCGCCTCTTCCAGATCACCCACAAAGCCAGCTTTCTGAGTACATGGTACCACACTTCCTCTCCGCCTCTGAGATTGTTAATGCTGTTAGATAAGAGCAGGATGTTGAGGGGGGTCGTGGGGGGGGGGGGGTTGATGAGAAGAGGATGTGCCACAGGTTGCGCACTTTGTTCCAGATCCACGCTGCTTCCGTACAGTACAGGAGGCAGTGGGTATGTCTTCCGGGATGTTGTCTGTGCAGAGTTTACACAGGTCGGTGCTACTGGGGTCAGTGTGTTTTCTCCTTTTGTGGAGCCATTGGTTAGTTGGCAGTGAGGTGTGCGCTATGAGCCATTGCATACTTCGGATCCTAGCTGGTCTGATGGATAGGAACTAGGCCACGGGATGGATATGGGGACCGAGGGGTCTAGGCTCAGAATTTCCCTCCATTTCCCTTGGAGTCTAGGCTCCGGGTCTGTGGTTTGTAGGCCCTGCTCATAACCGAATTCAACGTCGTATTCGTCTATCGTTCTCGTTCTCCCTGAATTACCCTGTTTCCAAGCCCAATCTTTCGGGTCGAATTCTAGCTCAGAGATGCTGAGGTCCGGTCGAAAGAGTTTCCAGGGTTTGTTCTTTGAGACCCTCACTTTCCTCAGTCGGAATGTCTCGACTATGTCACACTGGGGATCTCTGTTCTGGATTTCCGACTCGTAAGTGCTGTGTTTGGCTATGGGGTATGAGTAGAATTTGGAGAAGTAGCCGGTTGGGTTGGTTCTAGCTACAAATCTGTATGCTCTGATAGGCTGTGTTTGGGATATTGGTATCCCCCAGTCCCCAGATTTCCACGAGAAGTTCTCTCTTAGGAGGGGGAGCCAGTGTGTAGGGATGCTGTTTTGGCTCTGCGTTAGGTTTTCTGGGAGGGAATGACAGCCTTTTAGGACGTAGTGTAGTTCTTGAGCAGTGGCCCATCGTCCTTGGTCTTCTGCCCAGATGTGTCTGATCTGCCACACACCTTTTTCTACCCAGGATAGCCATCTACGGTCCTTGGAGCGTAGTGTCCATTCCGCTCCGCTGGGGTCGATGATCCAGGGGTTGCAGAAAAGAGGTTGTCTCAAGACTTCTTCTCTGTTTTCTGGTGCGCCGTGTTTGCTTGGCATCATTCTGCGCTAGGCTTTGATGGTGTTGGGGTGGGGTTTGTGATCTGCTGTGCCGGGTTTCTACTTCGTGGCCTGCCCGACTTTATTGTCCAGTCTTTTGCCATGATCCAGAATAGTCCGTTCATATTCGGGGGGAAGTTGATGGGGGCTAAGTTTCTGATGCTGTCTAGTGCCATCTGGGTCCATGGGAGGAACTGTTTAGTCAGGATCTTGAGGATCCATTTCATCTGCAGCGCTATGGATTTCTGCTTGGGGTCGATGATCCCTAGGCCCCCTTCCTGTGGTTTCCTGGTGATGTGGTTCCATGCGACCCTGTTGATGCAGGTGGTCCTGTTGGGATCGCGTGTCCACAGATAGCATCACCCTGTTTTTCAGCTTTTTGATATCGTCGTCAGGGGGGGGACCAAAATGGATGCCATGTACCACAGTGTGGAGAAGATAGCTCTGTTAATTAATATCGCCCGCCCGATTAAAGAGGCTTGAGCGTTTTTGCATTGGGCCAGTCGAGTGATTGCCCTGGCGAATAGGTTCTGGCCCATTCCTGGCCACACCCCTTCCTTGTTGATCATGATGCCCAAACACCTTAGTGCTTGTTCTCCCGTAGTCCATGTCATAGGTGTGGTTGTATCTGATGGTTGGGGAGGGGTGCCGTCTGCTAGCCACCATCCTTCGGTTTTGTTCCAGTTGACCCTCATTTCTGAAGCTAGTCTGAATGCTTCCATTGGCCTTACTAGAGCTTGGAAGGAGCTGTTGTTGGCGCGAATGAGGACCGTGAGGTCATCGGCGAACATGAGGGCGGTGGGGAGGGCCAAATCGTGTAGCGAGTTATGATTCCGTTTTGTGAGGCGATCGATGGACGGGTCTTTGCGGAGGAAGGAGGCTATAGCTTCCATGATGAATAGGAATATGGGTGGGGCCAGTGGGCCGCCTTGCCTGACTGATCGTGAGATTGGATAGGTGTCAGATAGAATTTTGTTGACCTGGACTCTGCCTGTTGCGTCGGCGTACAGTACTCTGACCCAATTTCTAAAGTTCAAGCCTACCCCCATTTTCTCCATACATGCGTGGAGGAAATCCCAGTTTACTTGGTCGTAGGCTTTCTCGAAATCGAAGAATAGGATTGTCGCTTTCATTCGTTTTTCTGAGATCTTTTTTGCTGCCTCGTTTAGAGTCATCACGTTGTCCAGAATGTACCTGCCTGGGATGAAGCCTGCTTGATCGATGTGGAAACAGCTGTTCGTTAGTTTTGTGATTCTGTTTGCGAGTGCCTTGGCTAGGATTTTGTAAGGCGTGGTTAGTAGGGATATGGGTCTGTAATTCTTCAAGTCTTCTTTGTCTCCCTTCTTGTAAAGCAGTGAGACCACGCTGGTACTCAGCTCCCTTCCTAGGCCTCCTTTGTTCATGCTTTCATTGAAGAAGTCGAGCAGATCTTCTCCCAGGGTCGGCCAGAAGCAGCTCCAAAATTCTCTGGGCATCAACAATTCCCATCTGGGTCAGGGATGTATGTAGTTCGACCAGGGTCAGGGGTCTGTCTGGGCCTTCCGCCTGACTAGTCGAAATGGTTCTGTCGAGGTACGAGAGCATGAGTTGGCGAGCTGCTGTGTTCGCTGTGGTCGGGGGTGAGGGTGTCTTAGATTCGTATAAGTCTGCGTAGAATGATCTGGCTATCCTTACCATCTCGGGTCCTGTTGTTTTGGTGTTTCCTGAATCTGTGGGATCCTGAAGGGCCTCTATCATGTTGTTCATTGCGTTTGCTTTAATTTTGGAAAAGAAGAATTTTGTCATGGATTCATCGAGTGTGTAATCTGTCATCCTTGCTCGGATCTGCAGACCTCTCAGTTCTCATCTTCTCCACTCATTCAGTTCCTCTTTGGTGTCGTCTAGTAGCTCTTGGTAGAATCCGCTAGAGGGATCTTCTGCCAGGTTTGCTTCTGCGACAGCTATTGCAAATTCGAGTTTTCTCTTCTCCTCTTGCGATCTCTGGCGATGTCTCGGGATTCCGCTGATACCGTCCGTGTTAGGTCTGCGTAGCTGTCAATAAACCATTGGTGGTTGTTCGTCTGTTTGGACTCTCGCTGTTTGTTCATGGTC